GCTCAGGATAGGAAAGAGTGGAGGTACGTGTCCACCAGTCTTAAGACTGATGACCTTATGATGATGATGATGATGATGAATCTAACATACGTATAAATAACTCGGGAAAACTAGTGGTTAGCAAAATTGATCTTGGTCATTCTGACCAAAATATTTTTAGTATTTGAAATTTTCAAGTTGCTATGTTTTGCTTTGCTTTGCTCATTACTAGGGAAAACGCGTAACACCCAGCTAATTTTTTTAATAATACATAAAGGCATTTAAATATCTATCAAGTAAACATGTTTTGATGGTTCCAACTACATTTTTTTTACATTATGGGTTTCCACTTGTGCAAGCTTACTTAGAAATCAACGCCCCTCTGAATGAAAAATGCAACTTCGAAAGCAGAAAACAAATTTTCCTTGAAAATCGTGTCATGTACCATGTTGTACTTAAGTATTATTAAAATTACTGAAACTTGACAACCGTCAGAAAGTACGTGCTACAGGAATTGCCTAAGCCAAATTCACAATCAGTATATAAAGCTGATTTAAACATGTTGAGAATTACAATATTGTAACGAGGCAAAGTGCTGTTAACATTTAGGTGCACGGTTATTATGTGGCACATATTTCTTTTAAAATTTATAAGATCTTTCGCGCTGAGTGGAAGATTTAGGAACACTGATATTCAAATATATATGACTATTTTATTTACTAGGAAGCAGATTAGCTCACCAGACTCTTGGCTTCAAGATTTATCGGCGCCTCGAAGTGAATTATTAACTTTATCTTTCCGAAACCGAATGGCCATATCCATACCAAGTAGAAAACTTTCAAGTCCTTCCCTTGGAGTAATTCTTGATCATTTACATAAGCAAATACTAGCCGTACTTACGAAATTTATCTAACAACACAGGAAGGAAACTTTTTGAATTTGCACAGCAAAATAAAACAAATAATTGCATAATTTATTGATTTTATTAAACACGCAATAACGATCGGCTTTTGACGATGTCGCCTCAACATTTGGTATTTTTGATTTCAGAGAATTAGTGATTAAAGTACGAAACATCAACGGAGAGAAAGTAAAGCTTCAGAGGCCTTAAATACAAAGAATTCACGAAGCTTCCCAAGGGTATTTCGAGATACTTAAGAGGAAAAGAAATGTCACGATTAAAAACTTGTACCATCGAGGAAAGCCGATTCAATGGCGATGAATAACAAATTTTAGATGATAACGTGCAATGAGCTGAAATTAGTCCTTTGAGTATTTGTACGTTCACGCTTTTTTGCTTCTGAAAAACTTTTCTAAAGAACACGTCTTATAAATAATAACTTCAGATATTTTTAATTGGGAAAATTATTTTTCTAAATTCACCACAATCTGCTTCGTTATAGGTACGTAAGTACTTGAAACCTACTTATATATTTTAAATATGTATCTACAATAAAAGGAAGCATTCTAATTATTTATTTGTCTACTTACAAGAAAACAATATTTTTAAGGGAAAACTCACACGTTTTTCTCAGGCACTGTTCGACGAAAAAAATTCTACAGTAATAATCATATTGATTTGCATATTTTCCAGTAATTGTCCTCAAAAATAATTACCTACATATAAATTTTAGAAAGAGAAATTTCATTGGGAAAAGGCAAGGACTAAAAAAGCTCAAGTCCAAAATTGTTTCCGAAATTAACTTGTCTTTATTTCTGAAAAGGCGAGCTTAAATATGGCCGCAATTATTCTAAATACGGCATTAAAACCTTCTAGATAGCTATTCTTTCCAGACCGCGGCTCTGTAATGTATCTGGTACCGTGGAAAATAGAGAAATAACAAAAGATTGGCTTAAGTCTGTCGCTACCGCAAAAGAAGTCTCTTGATGAGGATGAACGATAAAGGCTTGCCGTTGAACAGGTGGTAATTCGGGAGACTTCCTATTTTGCATAACAATCGCCCTTTAAGTAGCCTATATCATCAGCTCGTTTTCCTTTTACCATTATTTACGGGGAAATGTTTGAGACGACTCGCTCGTTCAATCTCTCAAGATTCTGCCAACCAAATCCTTCACCGACCAAATAAATCACATTTAAAAACCCCTTTCTCTTTCATTATTCAACTCTATTCTTTCACATTTATATGCCAAACGATTAAGCAGCAAAAGTCTCACAACACGANAATAGTCTTAATTAATAATTAGCATTTTTACATTAGTTGAATATAAGCCAACCAGTTTAGTCCAATTAACTATCATAATAAAAATTCATAAAAATTCCTATTCTATTTATTATATGTACATATTCATAATTATTTCTTAATTCAATTTAAGGCAGAAAATGGAAAAGTGTAAAACAATTTTATACTCAATAATATTACGGTGGTCTACGCCAATCGATTCAACCGACAACTCACCAATTTCTTATTTTTATTTACGCATTTAAATGCGAAGTGTTGGTATGATATAGTTCAGTAGTTTATTATCTATATATGCCGGTAAAATCAAAAGTTTATTCACATAAGCACCTATGTATGTATATAGGCATATTAATACAACATGTAACTTATCTTGCACTGTTTGATTAAAGTAATCTAAAATCACGGCAGATACCAATATATTTTCACACTCGGATATATCCAAAGATTAAAACATGTAGATCATAAAAAAAAATTATAAACCGCAAACTTGTAGCTCATTGGCGTGCTAAACGATAGATGTAATCACAAAATCGAGATAGTGAGAAACACATCACGTAATCGTAAATATTTTCCATTGGGGTGTCCTCATATAAGTCTGCCCGTGTAAAACGTAGCTGTAATAGATTTGTAACTACTTGATTTTCGATTAATTTCGATACTGGAACGCTTTTACAAAAAAAAAACTTTATAAGTTGTAATTAAATTTCTGTGAAAAAGCTTCACTTAAAAACAATAAACAGGAAACGTTCTGAAAGTAAAATATAATTTTGAGTAGCCTTTTCAAAACTTTGAAAACATTTTTTTTATCAGATGGCTTCACAATTGGCAAGGAGATGTGTCCTAAATTTGTAACGAGGTTGTTTTAATTAATTAATGAATTAATAATAAAATCTAACTTCACACTTGCTGTCGGCATCATTACCTTATGCAAAAGGTTTGTTTTAAATTTTTGGTAATCAAAAATAATTCCAATCTCAATTAACAAACTATTTAAAGTACGAACTGTCTAAACCTACGACTGTCGTAAAAACTAGGTTAAGTAAAAGATAAATAATAAATCAAGTGGTATTAATAAAGCTAAACCGATAACTTTGAACGTTTATATTCCCCGAAATAATTGTAATTACAAAAAACAGCAAACTTTTCTCTCTATGTCTGCGTATGGTAACAAGGTTTTCCAACTTACCAAAAATATTTGAAGTTATCATAGTATTTACACAAAAGTGTATTTCTTTGTAGTTACTTGTAAAATTAAGAAACACGAGGTTTAAGCCCTTAAGTACTCAAATAAATTGGATAACTCAATTTTTGTTATGGGAAAAAACAGCTTTCTGTACATAGTGTAATAAATCTCTATTTTAATATAGATACATGAATTTTCAGTTTGTCACTGTTGAGCTTCTTATTTTTTAAACATTTTAAAAACATGTTAACAAAGGAATAATGATTTTTAATGTTTCAAAAGACTTAAAACAAAACAAAACTTAAATCCTTATATCTACGCATTTAATAATACAGTTTGTTGAGTGTGGTGTATGAATATTAAACAAAACGTAAAGTTGAAAGTCAATTTAATCTCTAAAAATAATGTAAATATTTTTGAGTAGTGTTAGATAAAAAAGAAAGCACTTAATAGATTTAGTATCTATTGCAATATTCCATAATCCTTGAAAACAATCAAGGCAAAAATTGGATTATCTAAAACCATCTGGCAAAGTTTGTTATTTCAGCCATAATTTTTAAAAACAAGCTAAAGGAAAGGCATTCATAATGTGCAATATATATAATTTTCTAATTTTTTCGAAACCTATTAAATTAAATTTAAAATATTTAGTACGACTTCTACTGGGAAATCGGCGCTTCACTGCTCATGGCGAATTCTAAATCGATGGTGTAACACAACAATTTTTTGGTACCTAATTTACAAAAGAGCATTAATCAGAATTTAACAATTCTGGGTGGCACATTACTAAGAATCCATAAGTACCTTCTGCAGATGTGCAAGCACCTCAAGTCAATTTTTTCGGAAAATCGATCTTTTTACTGTACGCATTTATGAACCCTACTGTAAATTATGACTTTATTATGATAATTTTTCCAAGGAAACGAAAAGTGTTTGTAGTAGTGATGTACAGTTAAATGTAAATTTGGAAAGAAGATTGACATTTTTCTCAGAACTACTCAGAAAATGCAAAAGGAAACGTCAAAGTTTACAATAAATAACACAACAAAACAACTAAAAAACTAAGAACAGGTGAAGGGGTTTTTCCTTATTTCGTCCTCTGAGTCCTGAAAAGTGTATATGTATATATGCACTGGTAGAAAATAGACATTGTGAGATGCTTTCTCTGTTTTTTTTCTTTTTTTTAACTGTATGCAGAAATATTTGAAAATGATATTAATTTGCATCAATGGTGTTGGCTATTGATGCGGTACAAACAATATTCAACCGAAATCCTGAGGCAATAAAATTCAAATAGTCGTAGAGGGCAATAAAGACGCGCAGAATGGTTTTCAAGATCGGAAAAATGCTTTCACATATGGGTCCCAATTCTAAGCAGTTCATTTTACGAGAATCTGTAAATTTTATTTCAAACGGAAACCTTTAAGGATGAATAGTTTGTAGAGCTTTTAGTCAGGAGCAGAACACCCCTTAACGTCGAACCGCCTATCGGATATAGCGACTCCGCCTACACAATGTTTCCTTGGCAGTTTTACCGTCTTCGACAGAAAAACGCAGGCGCGATGTTTTTCGTTTATTTCAAAAAACTTTTCATCAAAATTTCAGTACAGGATCCCTTAAGCGATGCAGAGCATCCCTTGAATACATTATGCTCGTCAATTGAACGAAAACGCGTCCTCCTCGCTGCTATCGAAACGCTAGAGCATCGACGAGATCCTGCGAGCAAGTTTTCCACCGGAGAAAATTAGCGAATTAAAAAGGGAAAAAAGCAACAATAAGTAAAAAAAAAAGTAAAGAGTTGATCGGAATTAACGAATAAGGGTCTAAATCTGGTTGGTTAGTGGGCAGGACAAATTTGTGAAACATCTGATCGGAACAAGGTGTTTGCGCAAGTAATAGGGTGGCGCGAACTTCTACCCCGAGTCAGCAGGACCTCTATCCTCTACGCGATCTGGCTCAGTCTTGCCTTGGTGCTCGCGTCGAGTGATAGTATACGCGGTTACATTTCCGCGAGTCAAAGCACGTTGTGCTACAATACACGCTCGATCGACAATGTAGATATTTTACACTAACTTATTAGTTGGTTTCTGACGAATTTTCACCTTATGACAATGGACTTCCAAAGTGCTATGGAAACTTTTGCAGAAGCTTGGGTAGCCGCCAACACTAAAAGTGCACCGCTAACTGATCTAAATCCTCAGGTACCTAGCTATATTTCAGATCTTCACAAACTTTTCAAACTACTACCGTTGTAGCAGTCGTATTCTCTCATAACAAACCAACTGATCGCAGGATTCCTGCAAGGATACTCACTCATGTCCTGTAATAATTTATAATAACTTGCTCAATACCTGTATAAGATACAAGAATTCAAACTGTGGCATAATAAGAAACTTATCAATCTCTTATTATTATTAGCAGTTTCAATAATATCTGGAAATAATGTATCTTATTATGTACCCAAAAAGCACTTTTTTTTTCTTATTAATGCAAAAGTGATCATTTGAAAGTTTAAAAAAGCGCCCATGGACATCTACAACTCATGATAATAGTCAACTCATTAAGTTAAAACTAATTCCAAATTACTTTACCTACTTTAATACGTCACAGAATTTATTAATAGAAGTACTTTGTAACTCGATTATGCTCATAGATAAATCGCAAACAGTTTTACGCAAAAGTTCTAAATAATTACCCATAATTGAGACTGCTGCCTTAAATAACATTTCTTTTAATTAGGATAATTGCCTGCTAAAAGTATATTAGTAAAGATGGAAACTTGTTATAAGTATAAATTAATAGTCGTAGTAATACGTCAAAATATTTTTCATATGTAAATGGAAATGAACTAAATAAGTACCTGTTTTCTCAAAAAGGGTTTAAGATATTGAAAGAATTAAGAATCCTTCTACGACGCCGCCTTAAATCGTGTCTGATAGTATTATGATAACTGTTGTTTTCAGAATACTTGAAATTGCATGTTTATATCTCAGTAAAGTTAAGAGTAATCTTTTAAACAACTTATTAAGTGAAACAGCAAAGATTTTCGCCTGTTACCGATGAATTTCCTAATACAAAGTCTAGCAAAGAAGAACATTTTCAATTTGTTATCATTTTTAAAAAAAGGACCCATATAACTAAAAGAAGAAGCGTTATTATACTAATTCAATTAATAATTCCATTAATATGTATCTTTTTTCATCTTCTCTATAATTATTAAGTTGTGAATTGTTTTGTTTTCATACTTTATCTTGACATACATTATTATTCCTAACCAATTTGTTGTTAAATTTCCCGATAATCAGAAGAAATTATAATAATTTTGCTAACTAGACAATTAAATAATTGAACAATACGTAAACCGTGAACTATAGTTAACCCTTACTTATAAAAATTTATATAATTGTTACTAACAAAGGTGTTTACCAGCTGTTCAAATCTCTGAATTTCTCAAACTGTAAATGTTTGTTTTCATATTGATATAAAAAACACAAACAAAGGTATATTTTTAAAGAAATATTAAATGGAAAAAATTATTTGAATTAGTAAAACATCTCCATCATTACTTTTTTAGCGTTTAGAGTTTAATAACCGAAATCTTACTTGAATTATAATGAAGCTTTGCGTTCAAAGCTAAATGACTGAATTTTTGATGAGGCTTGCAACTGGATCCCTCTCTTTTAATCTCAGATTTGGCTTATGTGGATTAGCCACGGCAGTATGAAATCGATAAATTCACTAGCGAAACTCATTTATGTGTTTATAACGGATCTCATTTCGATTAAACCCAAATTAATTCAAAATATCAGTTTTCAAAACAAGTAAATTACCTATTCCTGCGCCAATTTTTGCCAAAGCTTTTCACAATTGGTTCGCACATACTTACAAATGGTAGGGGCAATACTAAAAACGAAACCAAATGTATGCACGAATCAAAATGATTAACAAAATATAAATTTTTCTTAAATATCATATCAGGTCAGGATAAGAAACTTCGTATGAACGCTAAGTTTTGCTTGACTAAGTTGTTAAATTGGAATTGTTAACACCAAAATACAAAATGTATACAAATCGAGAATTAATAATTAATGAAAGACAGAAAACATTCGATTTGTTTCACTGGAAGGGTTATCTTTAACCCTACAACAACTTGAGTAGGTACGAGCAAAATCCAGTGCTTTCTGTCTCATTATATATTTTTTTTTTTTCGATTTATTTAGATTCTATCAATTTTATTTGTCGAAATAATTATAGTTTACCTATTTTATTATTAGGTACAAGATATACGGTGTATATAAAAATAACGCCATCTGTTTTGTATATAAAAAAGCAAAACTATTATGTTTCGATGGTGTTGGTCTGTTTTTAAGACATTACTAGGTATAAGTACGTACATTTAACATTTTATTCCTCAAAGAAATCTAACTTTTATGTATGTAATACATGAGAGCGTTAGATAATTTATTAAACAAGATTATCTGCGGTAAAATGGTAATTATATAGAATTTAAAAGGATCAACTGTTTACTACCGTTCTGCCTATGTTAATTACAACAACATCTAATCACAGTAATCAGTGAAATGAGTCAGTGATGAGTATCTTGCATTCTCTTGTTAGGGCTAAATATTCTCATAAAGTTTACAATGTACTTGTTTAAGAGGTTTTCATTCACATAAAATATTCATTTGCGGCATACCTATCTCCGAAACATTTAAACGAAGACGTTGTTAACACACCAATTAACTGTTGCATTGTCGTTTCTTTTTTCACCAATAGTGGATAGATATACTGTGAGACCGACACTTTATTTACATGTATGTACACGCATACATGTAGGTACGTATATATTTAAAACATGCAAATAGTTTAGTTTATGCTGCGGAAGAAATTGTTAAAAGCCTCTCTTTCCACTAATAGTCGTTTTACTATCCTATTACTAACCAAGCAAGGAATCATTACCCAAAGGATCTTTTTAAATAAGATGAAGTAACTAGTATAACCATTAATACTCGGACCATTTAGTTATTGTTAATATTTCCATGATCGCACCACAATGTGCATTTTAAGTCTGATGTGGCCATTACCAAGAACTTTGTGGGAAGTCTGTTTCAATGCAACGGGCACTTTTTACCCTAAGTTCGAAGAAGCGAATTCATCTGGACCTGTCCAGCGATCTGATGAAAACAGCGCTTACCTTTTACGAGGGTGGATTGATAAGTTTCCGGCCTAACCAAGAGATGACGTCACTAGGCCTACCTTGAGGTGACATTCTATAGTACCATCCTTGGATAGCTTGTAGCTATAGTTTCAGCCCGATCTCCT